GTATTTGGAGAATATGGTGGGTGTGGGAGAACTTCTCAACCCAACTCCATAATCTTGTGTTGCGTCAAATGTGTCATATGTGGACGTGCATTGTCATGGAGAAGAACACCTTTCGGATTAACGAGTGAAGGACGTTTTTGATGAAGGGCTTGATTTAAACGTTCCAGTTGTCGAATATACATCTTTGCATTGACAGTTCGCTGTGGATTGAGGAGTTAAAAATGAATTACTCCTTTGATGTCCCACCAAATGCAAAGCGTCACTTTCTGCGGATGAAGCCCAGGTTTGGGGGTCGGAAGTGGTTTTTGTCTAAGACTGAGCCATTGTTTTTGCCGATTAATATTCGCATAAAGAATCCATTTTTCATCACGGTGACAATTCTGTCCAAAAATGGTTCACGCGCATTACACGCCACAAGCGACGAAGAAACGTTCAAACGTTGGATAAGATCATCATGGGAGAGTTCGTCAGGCAGCCAAACATCTTCTTTATGGAGTTTTCCCATATTAGTTAAATGTTTACATATTTTTTTCATGAGAACATGTAATTTCAGGGTGTGTTTCATGTGTTGCCTTGAGTTAGACTCAACAAGCGTCTTCAGTGCATCATTATAAATTCCAGCATGTCGGCCCCTGCCATCACAATTTTTAAGGCTAAAGTCACCTGAACGAAATTTGCTGAACCATTGTTGACACTTACAAACGTTCATAACATTTTAATAAACTTTGATATTCTTTGTTTCCCTTTTTGTATTCAAACAGCATTACATGCCGAATGTGTGTCTCGTCGTGTGCCATCACTACAAGGGATTAGAGTACACTAAACTTTACACATTATATAGGCTACACTAACGTGATGTTTAGGCGGTTGGTTTAACTATTATACATGTTGTACATTTTTGTGGTGTGGTTAAGGAAGTGTTCCAAACGCGACATTAATTTCTTAACGACTTAATATTGTTTCTATTTCCTGGCATCCCGGTGGCACAGCGGTAAGTCTGCGGACTTACAATGCTAGAAACCG